CCCTAAGCTGCTTTGGTGAATGCAGAATTCAAATATTAGTTTATTTCACTAAGATTGGCTTCAAGCTGATTGAGAAGAGAGACAGACTAAGCTGGGAAGAACCATTGATCAAGAATGCTTGGAACTTTTATGAATACAAATAACTTATCAAGGTTAATGAGGTTCAACTTAAGTATAGAAGAATACAAAACTTTCTTTATACAGTATATAATGCGATTTATGATCATAGGTACATTTTGAAAGGTATAGCATGCAAATTCTAGGTTAGCTGCTTCTATTTAGGGCTGAAAAGGGTATCTTCTACTTATTTTTCACAAGCATAAAAATTTTTGCTTGAATTTTTGACAAAAGCTTATGCAATCACAAAGGCAAAACAAATATCCCCCAAAAATTTCAGCTTTTTGAGAGTGATCTGTTTTTCAACTAGTAAGTAATATCTATATACAACTTATAAAGATGCTAAACATATAGCAAAAAATTGAATGACTAAGACCTATTTAGTAGGCCTGTATGAAACGGATAGTATTTGCTTCAGATTCAGCCGATTCAGGGGACAGTGATTCAATTTGGTGATTCAAATCACTGTCCCAAATCGATTCAGCCGAATCTGATTTGGAGATTTGGCCACCTCTGAATTGGCCAAATCTCCAAATCAAACAGGCCCCATCTGCCACCTCCCCTCCCAGCCCCGTCAATGGCTGCCCCGCCCAGCCCCAACATCCCAGCACTTAAAAAAATAAATAAATAAAAAATAAAAGCCCCGCACTCACCGGCTCCTGCCAGGTGGGGGGGGTGATCCCTGCTGCCCTCTACTGCTCGTGCTGCATGGGGGGGCTCTGCGATGAGCCCCCAGAGGCCCTGACGGCCGCTGCAGCAGCCAGTGAGTGAAGGGCTTTTTTTTTTTTTTTTTAAAGTGCCAGGACACTATAAGGGGGTGGGGAGCACAGTGAAGAGGGCTGGGGGAGCAGGCAGGGGATGGGGCCTGGCAGGGCCCCTGCCCCCTCCTCTAGCTCCCCTCCCCCCCACCCCCTACTTACTGGCATGGAGTTCGAGTCCAGCTCCCTGTGGCAGAAAGAGGGGACTGCCCAAATCTCCAAATCTTCTCTGAATCGATTCAGAACTTGTTCTTGGTCTCTCAATTCAATTCGGATTTGGAGATTTGGCTGCTGAATCAGGCCAAATCTCCTCCAAATTGAATCAGCAACTGAAGCTTCACACAGCTATACCATTTAGGTATAGTTCCTATGGCAGAGCTGGTGTCTGCTGGTCACTGACACATAAATAGAGTTCCATTTTCTTTTTTATCTGATCAAAGTACCTTTTAAACTTAAAATGCACTACTTGCTAACTTTCAGACCTCTAATTGACCTATACTCTTTGTCAGTTATTTTCACTTGAATGCCACCCAATCAAGAAGAGAAGAAGCCACATGACTGTTTTAGTCTAGGGTAAAATTAATTTAGAGCTAACCATTCCTTTTAATAAGTCTGAAAAAACATGCGTCAATGAGATAAGTCTTATACTTTGTTAAAGTTTTGTAAAAGTACAACAGTTGTACATTCTCCCTTCCCCATAGAAAATTACCCATTCAATTACAATAGAAAGCCCAATGGTTATTCAGCATTAGTGCAAGATGCTTTTTGATCAAAATATGATTCAGGATTTCCAGTAAATCAAGTGATTTGACAGGCTAAAAACAAATCTATAATATTTTATGAATCATACCCTCTTTTATATTACAGCATTTTTTTCAGATGGCTCTATAAAGAGAAGTACGAAGCAACCTTCAGTATAAAGCAATCCTTTTATGATAAAGATATTTCCATAAGAGAAACAGGAAGAACTCTAGCATTTGTGAAAAAAGTCAAATGCATTCAAATAATTACTCATATACAAATCTAATTTAATTTTATAAATTAAAAAGTTGTGATTTATCTTTTAAAGTCATAGTTCTCCAAAATCATATATTATTACAAGTAAAATGAAAGTTAACTACCTGAAAAAGATCAGGGAATTATAGACTTTCTAATTTGTATACCATGCATATAATCAGTCTATTTGTTGTCTATATATATGGTCAGTCAGGTTTCCCTTATTTATGTGCAGTTTCAGGGGAAAAAAGAATTAAAAAACAAGCATGAACATTGCTATAAAAAGCTCAGAAACTGCAAAATGGACTTAGGCAGACATAGTGACTAAAACTCAATATATCTTATATAAAACTTGTTCATGGCCACTTGTCTTCTTAAGAGTAATGTATCAAATAGTTATCCCATCTTATTAAGCTTTCTGCATAATTATCATTCTTGTTCTTTCCACTTTACATTTACTACACACTACATTTCATCTGATAGCCACCTATCAAAAATGAAGTGCACAACACACCAAATTCAAAATGGCAGGAAAAAAAATTAAGTTTTCGATAATATAGAAATACATAGCATCATATGCAGTTCAGAATTAGATAAAACTCTGTCGTTTGCATTTGCCAGAGGGCAATTATGTTCATTTAAAAAATGCTTGGTCAGCTCCAACTGGAAAGAAATATATCCATGTCAGACTATCAATTAGTAGCAGTGCTATAAAGGAACAGCCTTGACAGAATATTCTGTCACTAGGTAAGTCTGAAATTCACATTATATTGTTCATTGCTCTCTCACCCAAGGGAAACCTATATATACAGAGATATATAGACATCTCTATATAAGTACACCAGTATATACAGATACATAAAGATCTATATCTATATGAGAAGCAAGGTAGATAGATCTATCTTTCAATCTATTTTGCTTCTCACTACCACTCTCCAAAGGTATTAGCAATAGGAAGATGAGACAAAAAAGACAATATTGTTTTCTATATATTCTTTTCTTTTTTTTCTTTTTTGTCTTGTCTTCCTATTGCTAGCACCCTAGAAAGTGGCAGTGGGAAGCAAGATGAGAAGTAAAAAGTGACAGGACAGGAGAAGTCTAAATTTCTAAATTGCACCATTAGCAAAGCATCTTTTGCAGTCCTCTTCTATTAGTGTTCACAAAATCATAGAGAAGTAGGGCTGGAAGGGACCTCCATAGGGTCATCTAGTCCAGCTCCCTGCCTGAGGAAGAATCATCCCTATCCATCCTATACAAATCCATAATCTAACCTCTTACTAAAACTAGTCACCCTGACACAAGGCATAACATCCTAGCCTGCCACAAGTAATGGAGGGGGGCCATGGAGACCAACATCCTACTTCTCTAAAAGGTTATTAAATATATACTCAAAAGATCCCAGGAACATGGGCATGCCCCTGCCACAAAGAAAGGCAAAACCCCTCTGTCACAGGCGGAGAAAGACCGGGGAGACTCCCGGGCCCACGGAGGGAGCCCCAGAGCCAGGGGCAGAAGGCGGAACGGAGAGGAGGAAAAACAAAAAAAATAACTTACTCACCGCAGGATGTGAGGAAGAGCAGGGACAGCAGGAGAAGCTCGAGCGTGGCCTGGACGACGCCTTAAGTCACCTACGGTTGGCGGATGACGTCACGCCTAATCGCCAGCCGGTAGAGATAAAAGGACCAGCGGCGAAAAGGAGCGGGGCGCGCACGTGGCTGCCGGGAGGGAGCCTGGCCAGTGGAGTCAGCTGGAGGCGTGGAACACCAGAGCTGACTGCTGGCGCTTACCAGAGAAAATTAAACAAACCCGGGGACGAGCCAATGTCTGAGGACAGCATGACAGCGGCAGGTGAGCCGGGAGAGAGAGCGGTAAGAGCTCCAGCGGTGCGGAGGGGTCAACGGACCGAAGAAGACCCGGAGAGAGCGCTGCGGTCCGGGGGAGACCCGGAGAGAGCGCTGCGGTCCGGGGAAGGCCCGGAGAGAGGGCTGCGGTCCGGGGCAAACCCCGGAAAGAGGGGCACGGCCCCAGGAGATCCAGAGATAGGGTCACGCCGGTGGGGTACCAGACAAGGGGTGACAAGAACTTGAGATAGACGGAGAGAGGGCCACAGAACCAAGCCACAGGCAGGTGACCCAGCCGGTCACTAAGTGGAAGGGTAGAGAAGCTACTGGCTCCACAAGGAAACCTAATAGGGGCAGGGTTATGCCTCTCTTGAGGCCCATTGAGTTTTTATTTGAGTTTTGAAGGGTGTTTTGTGTTCCCCCGGATTAGAAGAGGCTGAGGTCGTGACAGCAGGGAGCTAGAGCGAGGGGTGAGCTCGTTGGTAGAGTATCTCGGGAAATATTCGGGCAACCACGAAAACAGCCAAGATCCGCCAGGCTGGGTAAAGGGTGAGGTGCAGGGGAGGAGGAGCCACACAGAAGACATCTACGATGCAGGTGACCGACAAGGGTAACCACGCTACACGAAGCTCCACTCACTGAAAGATTCAAGTCGTGGCAGGAGAGAAGGGGCAGGCTGTGGCGTGTGGAAGAGCCTCCTGGAAGGCCACCTGCAACAGCTAGGCGAGTACCGGTAAGCTCTCGGAGCAAGGAAGCCCGAGGCAAGATGTATGAGGCCCAGCGAGTACACCCTCATAGTTTGTACCAATATGACTCCAAAATTCCTTTCTGACCCCAGATCTGGCAAATGGTCTGACACTGAGCGGGGAGTGGGCAGAAGACCCTCTAGCCAGAAACCTCTGGCTTTAGTTCCACCAGCAGCATTGGCACATTTCAGTCAAAATCCCCAGGCTTGGCAGCAGCCAACACCCAATATCTCTGAGGAAGGCTTAAAGAAAAAAAACCCAAACAAACCTGGCACATGTAGCAGTCAGAGGGGAAGGAGGGGAAAAGGGAACACAAAATTGCCTCCCAGCCTCATGCAGATGAACTTCAAAGAGGTTTAGAAAATGTGTATGAGAGACAAGTAAGAAACCACGCTGCTTTGGAGGCTGCTTTCACCCACTCTATCTAGCATGTGACCTACCATAACCATACATATATAAAATCATTTAAAAAAGAAAAAAGGTTACCTCTATGTGTGTTGTAAGTTGCATTCTCTCTTTGTCCTTGCGCTCTATGCATCGCTTCAGTTCTTCCACTTCCGAGGCTACAACACACTGGCTCAGCTTTGCTCTTAGTTCCAGAATATGTTTCTCGAGCTCTTGTTTCTCCCACTCAGACCTTTCAACCACTAGAAAGCAGTGTGAACCATTAAACAGTCCTGCTATGTGAAATGAAAACACCATATCCTACAAATTAAAGTTTTCTCATTGCTTCCTTTGCCATTCAATTATCCTCTTCCCAAATTTTCAACAGACATATATAAATATCCCGCAACTAATGACCTTAAATTTGTGTATAGCTTAAAGATACGGACAGTTAAAGCATTACTTCAGAAGTAGTGAGATACTAGTATTCTAACTCATTGGACCCCAAACAGTTAGTGTTCTCTTCTACCTCTTTATTCCAATTTTATATTTGCCTAAAGAAACAAGAATGAAATCCTGACCCCACTGAGGTCAATGGGAATGTTGTCACTGATTGCAAGAGACAGGATTTCACCTCAAGATCTGGTGCAGAGTACTGAAAAGTACTAAATCTAATTTAGTACTAATCTGAAAAATCTAAATCTAAAACTATCACGATACTGTATCTGGATAAGTGTGTGCCATTTCCATTTTTAACCATACATTATGGTAAAAATTCTATCTAATAAATACCAGCAATCTCTTCCACAACTGACAGTCAAGAACTTCAGTTTATAAACTCTATTATACACAAATAAAGCCTCAGCCAATATCCCTTTCTGTGAACCTTTGGCTTCTCTTATAGCACTATTGTAAACATGTATTCATTTTCATGGGTAAAATGTGCTTTAAGGACATTTTGTCTTTCTGTTTGTTTGTCTAAATATGTTTATAGCAAAAGTTATTATAACTGCAAAACAAGCCAAGAAAAGTTTTAAATGTCCAAATTAGCATGAGGGACTGTTGTCATTAACAAGCTCATTTTTAAACATACTGGTAATTTTAAGAGGTTCAAAATGAGGTTAATCGTTCACTACCTTGAGGATTACTTACCTCGGAATGGTGACTTTGATACTAACTAGACTTGGGTTCTTAGGGTTTCTCTGGAAACAAAAGGGTTTTGAAAATGCGAAGAACACAGCTCTATTTAGATAACTATGAGAATTTGTCCAGATGAAAGAGAAAGTAAGTTGTTATACCATAAAATAGCGAAAGTGATGCTTAACCAAAAGCAAGATTAAATGGGACACTGGACCCATGTTACCACTTCAGTAGCACAAATGTGTTAGTATAAACCAGAGGTGTCAAACTCACTTGCCTTCCCATACCAGATTGGGACCATAGGACCAGATTTGGACATAGTGATAGCAGGATCCCTGACAGCATCAGGGGCCACACAGATTAATATAGACATTACTCATCCCCACTGCTAACACATATCTGCAGTGGGCTCCGTACCCTGGATTTCAGCAGCAGGCCCAAATTCCCAGACCCACTATGAGCCTCACAGCCCAAAAAACGTTTCTCAGGACAGTTGTGTGCATAGGTGACGCATAGTGGGAGCACGTGCCTTCCCCCACCCCCCTTCACCCCCTGAGATTGGCCCTCACTGGTCAGGGAGTGGGGGGATGACAGCTGGTACCCCCTTAGATTGTAGGAGCGCCGAGAGAAGCACCAGCGGCACTTCCACCTGGAGTGGCAATCAGACACTAGGGGACTGCCCCCGCCTCCCCCAGTCAGCGATCAGCCGCTGGTGCCCCCCCAGTATCAGGAGGTACCAGTCGCCCATGTGCTTGATATCCATTGTATATATGACAGAGATAATAGATACCTCCTACAGATAATATATATTTATAGGCATTTTTAAACATACAGGCAAAATGAATTTAGAGAGCTCGAACCTAGATCAATGATATATTCAAGATCACTTTAAAGACATAACTCACTATATGCAATTACCTCTTCTATGATTTTCAATACAATTTTTTTTTTATATTCTAAATGCCCAAACAAATCTTCAGATTTTCTTCAACGCTTCTTCTACTGGAAACACAAGAAGCATTGACTGGATTGTACCTATACACATGCAGCGGGGCTGCTCCAACACATTGTACTTACAGCAGTCAGAGCAGACTCAATTACCGTATTTTTGCACATATATCCAGCGGGCTATACGCGATTTTACAAAAAAAATAGATGGGTGCGGGCTATCGATGGACTTTCTTTCCCCCCGCGGTGGCTGGGGCCGGGGCAGGCTGTGCCGCCTCCCCGCTGGGCCCAGGCAGGCCGGGCTGGGCCGCCGCTGCCATGGAGGCCGGGGCGGGCTGCATCGCCTCCCCGCTGGGCCCGGGCAGGCCAAGCTGTGCCGCTGCTGCCGCGGGGGACAGGGCAAGAGCCAGGGCGGGCCGGGCTGCACCGCCGCCGCCGCCACCGCAGGGGCCGGGGTGGGCCGGGCTGCACTGCCTCCCCATGTATACACCACTGCAGGGAATACACAGATGCAGCATATACACGGGCTAATTTACGAAAATACAATATTTCGCAGATTATACATGGATGCGGTTTATACCCGTGGGCGGGCTATATGCGCGAAAACACGGTAAACAAGTCTGCTCTCTGTCAGTTTGTGACCATTGTTCCTTGTTACCCCACGAGGCGCCATAGTGAACACAGCATCTCTGATCCCTTGCTGCGCCCCCCTAATGAATTTGTAGCCGGCCACAAGATCACCTCTCAGCCTTCTCTTGCGGAGGCTAAAGAGGTCCAGGCCCCTCAGTCTCTCCTCATAGGGCTTGTCCTGTAAGCCCCTAACCATACAAGTGGCCCTCCTCTGGACCTTCTCAAGTCTATCAACATCCTTCTTGAAGTACAGCCCCCAAAACTGGACGCAGTACTCCAACTGCAATCTGACCAATGCCACATAGAGGGGAAGTATCACCTCCTTGGATCTATTTGTCATGCATCTGCTGATGCATGATAAAGCACGGTTAGCTTTGCTGATGATTTCGTCACACTGACAACTCATGTTCATCTTGGACTCCACTATGACTCCAAGATCCCTTTCCACTTCTGTACTGCTGAGAGGGTGACTTGCCAGCCAGTAGGTGTGCTGGAAATTTTTGTGCCCTAGCTGCAGCACTCTGCACTTGTCCTTGTTGTACTCCATGCTATTGTGTACTGCCCACTTTTCTAATCTGTCCAGGTCTTCCTGCAATCGTTCCCTACCCTCTGGAGTGTGCACTTCACCCCACAATTTAGTATCATCCACAAACTTGGACAGAGTACACTTCACACCCACATCCAAGTCACTGATGAAGATATTGAAGAGTACAGGTCCAAGGACCAAACCCTGCGGGACCCCACTACGCACATCCTTCCAGGTCAATACCGACCCATCTACTACCACTCTCCGGGTGCAACCGCCAAGCCAATTTGCCACCCACTGGACCTTGTAAACATCTATGTCACAGCCTCTTAATTTATTTATGAGAATGGGATGAGACACCGTATTGAAGGCCTTGCTAAAATCCAAGAAAATGACATCCACCTCTACTCCTCTGTCTAAGCATTTTGTAACCCTGTCATAAAACGAAACCAGACTGGTCAGGCATGATCTACCTGCTACGAATCCATGCTGGTTTCCCTGCTGCATTATTTTTCCTGCTGGACTCCCACAAATATAAACCTTCATAATCTTTTCAAAGACCTTTCTAAAGATGGAAGGGAGACTGACTGTCCTATAATTACTCGGATTCCCCCTTCCTTCCCTTCTTGAAAAATAGGGACGGCATTGGCCCTTTTCCAGTCCTCCAGGACCTGACCCGAGTGCCACAAGCACGCAAACAGCCGTGCCAGTGGTTCTGCTGTGACACAGGCCAATTCTTTCAGTACTCTCAGATGCAGCTCATTCAGGCCTGCTGACCTGAACACATCCAGTCCATCCAAGTGACTCTGCACCAAGTCAGCATCAACAGTTGGTAGGCTGGTGTCCCTCTGATGCCCATCTAAGAACCCATTAGGAGACTTATCTTGAGCCCTGTTCAGGAACACTGAGGCAAAAAATTCATTGAACAGTTCAGCCTTGCCCCCCCTGTCTGTCACTAATTGCTCCTTCTTGTTCAGTAGGGGTCCTATGCTGCCCTGCACCTTCCTTTTGCTGCCTACATGCCTAAAATAAGACTTGTTGTTGTCTTTAATTTGTCTTGCTAGCCTCAGCTCTGTAGTTGCTTTGGCTTTTCTAACTGCCTCCCTGCAAGTATGGGCCAAGTAGGTATACTCCTCCTCGGTAGCTTCCCCACTTCTACCGCCTATATGCCTTCTTTTTGCCCTTAGGCTCCCCTGGATTTCCCTGTTTAGCCAAGGAAGTTTTTGGGCTCCTTTTCCCTCATACTGGGATAGTCTCCCTCTGCGCCCAAAGGATCACTTCCTTTAGAAACAACCACCCTTCCTCTTCCTAGACTCTTGCCAATATTCTTACCCTGTAGTGTGTCATTGACTAGACTCCTAAGCACACTGAAGTTAGCCTTCCTAAAGTCAAGCACTTCCACCCTACTAGTTATCTTACCCACCTTACGCCATATGGTGAATTCGACTGATTGGTGGTCGCTGTCCCCAATCAATGTGCATGATAATTACTGTGCTCCTGCATCATGTATATCAGTGTCCCTGCACTGAAAAAAAGCTCATTTGAAGAGCTCTCGTTAGTTAAAATGTCCCCACTGCCATTTTTCAGCGTGGAACACTGATACACACAATGCTCCTCCCCTGCTCCTAGAACACGTTTATAAACACCCATGGTTGGACTATGTTCTCTTCTTTTCTCTGAGATACATTATCACTTCTGAGGAATCATTTAGAGTTTTGCCAGGCAAACTTTTGCTTAGTCAGGAAAAACACTAAATTATGAAGATAGGTGAAACCTGCACTATGTTCCAATATGGCAAAATAAGCAACATTTATGAAGAGTAACATACATTTTTAATAATATTTCAAATTTCACTTCTATGAAGAGACTATTCATTTTGATAACTGATTAACTCTAATTTTTTTTATTATTTGTAAACCATGAAAAACAACCTGATATAATTTAAGTGTTATCCTGAATGTTTTGTTCATAAATATTATGTAATTATTATTTGAATACTAGTACTAAGAAAAGCTAATCTAGCCAAGATAACAACTGGCCATTTAGTTCAACCAGCAGAGGATCTGGATTCCAACTCAAACACAGTTAAATCCCTGGCAAAGTCATAAAATTATATCCTGTATAACAAGAAAAAGGCAATACCTGTTCTAATCCTCCTATCATCTTTGTCATCTGGGTAAGTTTGGCGGTGCATAGTGACCTGAGATATTTGATGCTGCAAATCCACGCGATCCTCTTCTGCTCTTAGGAGTTGGCAGTGAAGATCCTCAATCTGATGTCCACATATCAAAACAAAACCAAAAAAAATAATTCAAGAAACAAGTAAAAAATTTCAGTTCTACCAAGCAGCATAATCACAAAAAGACTAAACAAAAGTATTTAGCAGACCTTTAAGTGCTCAAGGTGGACATGCATACAGGAAACATCAATGCCTACATACAATCCAGAAAGGAATTATCAAAAGTTGAAATGAAATGATACCAGCCAGCTTGCTGCCAGCTGCAAAGGAAGGCTTTCGTCTAAATCAAGGTATATTCTGTATCAGGGGCAAGCAGTCTGGCCTGCAGGCTGGTTCCATCCAGCAGTAGACTCCATTTCCCAGCAGCTCCTGCCCACTTTTCTTTCTAAATAGCATATAATGTTTATATTAAATTAATGCTTGCTACAGAACCATTGAAAATGCAGTAAAAACAACACATAAAAGCAGAAATTAAAGTAATGCGACTTCGGGGGCATGGGCAGACTTACCATTTTTAGTGTTCCACGTGCCTTTAAAGCACTATACAAAAGAGGGAGCAGACGACACAGCCATGAAGCTCTACAAATTAGCACAAACTATATAAAAAATGGCCCTGGATGAAACAGGAAAAATGGAAGCTAGCTTTTTGGTGACTTCATCCCAGCTCCACTATGCTGGTCTCAAAGTCACTGTCCCACATGACACTGCCTTTTTCTTTTCTTTTCTTTTTAAGTAACCAAAATTGCCATTTTTCTAGGCCACAATCCTGGAAATTTGGCTTTTTAGGTATGGAACGTTATCTAGCACCCACTCACTCGCCATATCATTCCACAACATCTGCACAAGAAAAATTTCTGCCTGCATGAAGTAGGCTACCAAGTGAAGGAAAACAGAGATCATGGACCTTCTCTCATTGTAACCGAGGAGGGAACTCAAAGATTCCTCAGGAACAGCCATCAGAATCTGCTTACACACATGTTGATTGTGGTAAAAAATGGCCACAACTGCAGCTGGTACTCGATTCAAAGCAAAGGTCTGGAAGACGTGATCCAAATCATGCCAACTGTGTTTCAAAAATCCAACAGGTGGCTCGTTCAGACAACAAGGAGGTTTCACAGATCCTTGCACGGACAACTCCACTGAGCCCTCTCTCATTGCTGACTCATGGATGCACCCATGCAAAAATAATCAGCAACAGAACAAAGGTGATTGAGGGTTGTCAGCTTCCACATGGCAATCATCCCTCACTTCTCCATGCTCCTGGGCCTCATGTTGGGACTTGCCTCTGGAGTGACAGGATTAGATCACTATAGATCTCCAGGAAAGTAGTCCCACTCATCCTGAAACACGAGTGACAAAACTATTTGCCCTCAGTTCTCAGGATTATTCACTAGTGGTCATTACTTGTCTCCTCTGCTCAAAAGCATCAACACAGTCTGCACACAGTCCCAGAGAAAGCCATCCTCTATGAAGTCCCTTATATTTCCCTCCTCCAGCATGTAGCTCTCAGGTGCAGAGCGTGTTGGTACTGGATTTATGACCCAGATACCTTGTTCCAGGAGGACCCAAATCCTCAAACCAACCACAACTTCTTCCATTTGATAATAGGCAAATTTTATTGATACACAGTGATAGCAGATAATAATGCAGGCAAGATAAACAAAACAAGCCACCCCTTCCTACCCCCACCCCCCTGATTCTACATCTACCAGTCCTAGGGCTATCACAGAGGAAAGGTATGTCTGGCCAGTATGCAAGCTTCACCCTGTGGTTCTTTCTTGAATGTCAGAGGTCAGCAGCCTGGAGGTCGAGGGCTGAGGCCCACTCCCCTCTCCCCGCCCAGCGGGGTGGGTGAGACAGGCTGGTGATGTGCCCTCTGTCCATGGTGGCCTTGGGATCCCCACCCCTCAGGGACGCTTTTCTGGTCCGAAATCCCTCCCTTTGTATTCTCTCTCCTCCTGATGACTCTTCATCTCCGGGTACCATCAACTGGTTTCCCTATGGTCATCATACTGTCCATGTTCTGTCCTGGCAGCATATTCCTTTGTTTCCCAAACCCATCAAATGCAGACATCTTAATTTGGGCATGCCCCAGCCTCCTAATTTAGTCTGCGCACCAAAACCAGAAATCCCAAGGGCTCTGCAGATGGGCACTGTGACTTGACGACAATGCTGCAGTCTTTTATCTCTGTTATGGATACACTGCGCAAATTTCCCAGCCTGTTTCCACTCGCTTGTCCCTTGGCCTCAGATACAGTGCCTGTCTTGAAGGAAACTTTGTCACAAACAAGATTTTAGAAATCAATTAACCCTTGTCATTCCTCTGGACCAGTGTTCTAATGCATATCTACTTTACCTACAAGCCAATTCCCAAAAACAATTATCTAAATATCATTTTCTAGCCATTAGAGCACATAGCACAACTTGAGGAGACCCCTTTCAAGTGCCAGTGATGGACTTTTGAGTTTCCACAGTACGCCAGCTACCAGAGCTACAAGAAGGAGATGGAAACCGTGGCTGGGGAGAAGATTCTCCACCAGTAGCAAGAGAGCAGAGTCAGTGCTTAATGGTGTTACTCCAAGAGATATTGGAGGGCATGGGGAGGGTAAGAGTCCATTCTTTGATCCTGCCAAGAATACAAGATATAAAAGTGACCACCCCTGCAATGGCAGAAAGCATAAAACAAAAGCCAGGAGTCAAATAACCATAAGACTGTGCTGCTGCCACTCAACTATCTTTGAAAGCCTCCAGGGAAATGTGACCAAAAAGCTAGGCAGGCCTGCTCACTAGGCCCCTAGTTGTGGAATGGAGCAACAGGATTGGCTCTGACACATAATGAAGTGCTTCAGCTGGGAGGGACGTGTACGTTTGCACAGTACTGACAGCCTCACATGCATTGCTGCCCATGCTTTTAATCCACCTAATTGTGAATATATATGACATTCTCAGTAGTAAGCTAAGGAAGCGCTGAGCTAGTAGTGCTGAGCTCAGTAGTAAGCTAAGGACTGCTGAGTGAGTGTTGATTGCTGTGGGATTGTTGATTGCTGTGTGATTGCTGCCTGGCCCTAAGTCAGCCCAGGCCCAGAAGGGTATACAAGGAGGCTCCCCAGGCAACCAGGGAGCCTGTGACCAGGGAGCCACAAAACAGGGGAGCAGTTTGCAGGCCAGTTCATGGGTAGGAGTACATACCGTGTAGGAGTACACAGGAGCTTCTGACAGAGACTTCAGGTAAGTGAATAAGGAGCAGGGCTACTACGGGGGTAGTGACACAGAACACGCAGCCAGGGACCCAGCCCTGCTGCTGCCTCCAGTCTGGAGCTCCTGTGAGGCCTCCACCCAGATAAGCCCCTTGAATGGGTCAGCAGTGACCTTGCCCCCTGTCTGCGGGGGTTGCCTGGTGGGACCTCTGAGGCCTGGGGGTAGCGTGGAGGCCGGGGAGTCCCTTGCCTGTCCCATATGTGCACGGATCAAGGCCCTGAAGGGGCAGGTGATGGAACTCCAGGAAGAGGTGAGCAGGCTGCAGAGGATGAAATTGATGGATACTTTCATTCTCTGCAGGACCAGACACCTAGCGCAGAGACATCACGGGAGAGCCCCAGGACAGATGAATGGAAGACTGTCACCTCAAGAGCTAGACAGCGTGTGGCTGTGACTGTTTCCCCAATGCAACTGGGGAACAGATACAAAGCCCGCCACTGGAGGATGATGCACCAGAGGAAGCTGCAGGGTAAGACACGTCTGCAACAAACACCAGGAATGAGATACCATATCAAAGACCTTCTTAAAGTCTGAACGACCACATCATGAGTGACTACAGGGCTCGGGGGGCCAGGCTTAGGAAGTCAGGGGCACAGGTGGTCTTCTTGTCCATACTTCTGGTCAGCGGATGCTGTCAGCGTACACCCGGTGTAAAGGGGGGCGATCTCCAAAGAGGAGTATACCTCCACTGCTCAGGCCTGTAAGGGGGCTGTTAGGAAAGCTAAGGAGGACATAGAGCTAGGACTAGCATCCAAGATCAAAGATAATAAAAAGTCCTTTTTCAAATATATAGGGAGGATGAAGAAGGCACCGGGAAATGTGGGGCCCCTGCAAGAGACACTGGGCACTCC